AACTGTGTTGGTCTGCAGTAAAACAGTCAGATTTGAGCTCAGTAGCAAGAGACTAGCAAGAGTTTCAGGGTATAAGCTTTCGAGACGAAGAAGGAGCTTTGACCCTCGAAAGTTTATACCCTGAAACTCTTGCTGTTAATCTTAGAATCTCCTCAGATTAAGTTCTCCACAGGTAGGCCTTCATTTGACCCAGAGCTCAGCACAAGGCAGAAACCTAATCTGAACAGAAGGTCAGCCCTGCCTTATGAAAAGTCAAGGTTACCTCTGAGCATGTGCAAAGAGTATTTCTTAGATGAGTATATTTCACTCCCCCACACTCACAGAGCTGCGGACCTTCAGGTGGGGATTGAAGATCTTCGAGAATTACAACTGAACTCCAGATGACAGAGATCAGTTCCCCTGGAGAAAACGGCTACTTTGGAGGGCGGACTCAACGGTATTACACCCTGCCCCTCCCTCCCTAGGCTCTACCCCTCAGATCTCCAGCAATTACCCAATATGGAACTGGCAACCCTGGGGCCTTGCAGCTTCCCAGCTGACTTGAACCCCAGATCTTCTCTTTTACAAATGACTTATCGATGAATAACTAAATTAATAATACTTAATTAAGCACTCTCTAAAGTCCAAATACTGTCTACCGCTTCAGGGGCTCTTAATTTTCGACACTGGGTTTATAATTTTCCTTGGTAGGTTTCTCTAGATCAGAGCCAGTCATGAGATACTTATTCCTCCCTTGTTCTTCATTTCAAGAGAATGCATGGAATTTGCCGTGGGGTGATGCCAAAGAATGGGTGTAATTGATGCTTCTGCCCCTGATATAAAATGCATAGCTCCCCCATTGGGGGAACAAGAGGCTTTGCGCCCCTTGGTCATCCGGGATGGGGGGGAAGTGTCAGAGAAAACCTGCCCTTTTTGTTCTAACCTGAGAGAAGTGCCATCAGGAATGCTCCTGCCCTTATGGCTATGCAAAAGATATCAGTGGCTTAACCTAATTGGGCAGGAGGGAGTGTGGAAAGGGTAAAAAACCCAGTATATTCTGTCTGTATTCTGCATCCAGAAGACAGGCTGCAGTTTGAAGTGTGGGTCAACCCCAGAAACTTGTTTTCCTGTACTCTGTCCTGGAACATATATAGTAATCATAAAGGACAGAGTACCATTGCAGGGGTCATTTCCTGCAGGAGCTCACACGAGCGGAGCTCCGGCAGTAAGGAGCCCAGGGGGCGGGCACATGCAACAAGCCCCGCCCCCTGTTCTCAGCAGCCCTCAGTTGGGCCACAAGAAGCA